CTTACTATCATGCGCATATAAGATATGAGAATACAACTAAAATTATTCTTGAGGTGTTATTTTCAAATAGAAAAGTACTAACTATGTCACTAGATGAAGATGGTACATAGTAGCTTATATAGATATCGCAACTTCAAGATGGTACACATAGTTTATGTAGATATGGATTCTATTTTATAAGCAAATACTGAATATAAATACTATACACAGATAAAATTCGACAAATCATATCATAGAATGAAGATGTTAAATAGCAGTTTATATAGTTATGGATCCTATTATTCTAAAAAAATCTACAAAACATATCTTGAGATGAAGATAATACATACTAACTTTTAGGAATATTGCAACATCAAGATGTCACATTATAGTTTATATAGATATGTATACTATTTTAAAAGATAGTGCTGAAAACTTCTTAATTAAATAAAGCGCTACAAATCATATTATAAAATTAAATAACAATATAGTTTAAAATTAATAGACGACAATTGACGATTTATTGAATATACAAGCTGTATGCATATGGATATCGTAACCTCAAACTGGCACATAATACATTATATAGATCTTGTTCTAAAAGCTGTTACTGAAAATATCCTATGTTTAGATGAAAAGCTATAATCATAAGATCAAAATGGTATAAAGTAACTATATGGAAATGGACTTAATATTGTGTCATTATCACACTCCATCAACATAGAGTACCTTATGAGTATATGGTTCGAATTCTGTAAGTAATATCATAATATAACATATAATGTTGTTATCAACAGCGAGTAACTGCAGCAGAACCTATATGTATATATGGATAGGAGGGCTAAATATATATACTTATATATACTCTATAGATCACTTAATCTATAGATTCTATATAGATAAGTAAATGTGGATAATAAAATATTGATAATAAATTGTTACGACAATTAAGTAATTATTTAATTACTATAAGATACTATAAGATATAAAATATATTTAAATCAAAATTAACTTAAACTTCAATAATATATCACGCGTACCAGTGTAACTTTCTTATAAGCACAAAATATACCGGAACAATACTATTTATTTTATATGAAAGATATTACATAAAAATTCAATTTTTATTTAAAAAAATCTAAAAACTTGAAAATAGAACATACCTAGTAAAAAATGGATTTTATCAATTAATTTTTTTTTTAAATATTTACAAAATTATTTATAATAATAAGTAAGATCTTGACAGAAAATTAGTTTTTATATATATAAAAAGTTATAAAAATTTTTAAATAATTATAAAAAAAAAAGCAGAGTTCTTATAGAAATCTTTGTCTAGAAAATATATAAAAATGTCGGTATAATCACGTTTTATAACGTTGTTGGTTGCAATTAAATTTCATCATGTTTATTTGAATAAAGTTAATAGATCTGAATATATTTTTAAATTTAATAAAATGCATTTTACGCTACCATTTAGCGTTCAATTCAAGGACATATTACGGTAAACTAAATAAATCCGTTATCATTGGAAATAGCGGGCAAAATAACCTAACCAAAAATGTGACCCCTTTTTGTTTAAAAATAAAATTTACTGTAAATTTAGAAAAAAAAAAAAACAAAAAAATAGAAATTATTTGCAATTACTATTATTAAAATTAGTAATAATAATTAAAATTTAATTTTTATTAAACAGAATTGTAAATAACTTTTATTAAAAATAAAAAACAAATGTCCACATTTCGGCATAAGAAAGCAAAAACCAAAAAAAAAACAACAAAAAGCGTATGAAAGCAACCGCTGCCAACAACTTAAGCAGAGGAAAAAGACAGCGAACATAAATCTAAGATGAAACGGCAAAAACGAGTGAAACCATTTTATATTTCTGAGTACCGTTTTTTTTCACATTATCAACTTAATATATTACACGGCCTATGTACTTTTTTTAATAAAATTACTTTAGAAATGTTTTGTAATATAAAATATATTTTTTAAAGAACGCAAAAATGTGGGTGTTACTTACCACTGGATAACGCTATAGTGCACTCAGCCGGATCAACAGTGAACAAACGACCCTCATACCGTATATCAGCCTTGGATATAAGGCTGATCTTCGAGCCCAATTCAGGCATCCCACTACTCATTTTGCAAAATTATAATCACTGAACTTAAAAAAAAAACAAATACCGCGTTTGCCAAATATATAAAGCGCCGCGGTGGGTGTCACGTCCAATGGTCTGCTGAAGTGACTTTTTTTAATTTTTTAGTCTTCTCAATTAAATTTACCACAAAAAAACTTTTTCAGAAGGTTTTCTATTTATTGTTTAGTATATATTTAATCTTTACGCATACGATGTGAAATGCGTTTTTACAACGTCGCACAAATGGCGATATAGCAAGTGAAAATTAATTTATATCCACAATCTATCTGTGATTCGGTCCGCTTCAGTCGCCGTTGTCTTTATGTGTGTTCTGTTTCAATATGTTGCTGCGCAATATGGCGCCGTTCCTACTTAAAATACCGTTCCATACATTTCTTATACTTTTGGTATTAAAAATTGGTAGCATTGTTTTCCATTCCAATGTTTCAATACAAATTGTAATAGAGAATGCAAATCATTATACACGGTTGTATTTGAAATAAAAATATAGCACACATTGAGTACAATTTGTGTATTCAGATTGAGCTCGTTATTTATTAAAATATTCAAACAAATAAGTCTGAATGCACTTTAATGATATTTTGCTTATTCAATTAACACAAATAATTGTAATTTCTAAATGTACGTTTTTAAATCATTTTGCTAAAAACCTGTTTACACAAGTTATTATTATATAATAATAATATTAAAATATTCAAACAAATAAGTCTGAATGCACTTTAATGATATTTTGCTTATTCAATTATCACAAATAATTGTAATTTCTAAATGTACGTTTTTAAATCATTTTGCTAAAAACCTGTTCACACAGAAAATAATATCTTAATTTTTTCTTTTCGTAGTAATGCTCGTAGAGGAAAATACTTTTGTTGTTTTTATATATTACACACATATATATTTAAATAACAAGTAATGATTGCTTATATGTTTTTTTTAAGGAATTATTTGTATATAATATTATTTTAAGTGTTTGAAATTATAAAATAAAAAAAAATTTGGATTGATTGTTCGCTTCTTCAGGATCAAAAATGACAATTGTCATATATTATAGTTGATATAGTTCATAAGAATTATTATAAGAGAATAATAATCAAAATTATGATTACTTGGGCTGTGTAAAGAGGCTCTAAAACTAGAAATAAACTCATATATCAGCTAATTTTATTTTTAAATATAAGCAGTTTAAACAAATTCGATTTAATAATAATTTTGTTTTTTAACAAACAATTGATAAACAATAAATTATCAAATACGATTTATTTTAAAAATATTTTCTCATAAATTTATTTATTATTAATATATTATATTTAATATTTATTATTTAATATTTAATACATGGTATTAAATATTGAATATTTATTATTTTATATTTAATATATAATATTTAATACTTAATATTTAATATTACATATTCAATATTATTTATTTAATATTTATTATTAATATTAATATATTATTAACAATATATAATATTTAATACTTAATATTAAATATTTGGTATTTAATATTGGATATTTATTATTTAATATTTATTATTTAATATTTAATGATATTTAATTTATTTAATTTATGTATAACATTTGAAATTAGTTATTTAATATTTAATATATATAATATTTATTATCTGATAATTAATATATAAAATTATTAATATTTAATATTTGACATTTATTATTTAATATTTGATATTTAATATTTAAAATTTAATATATATAATATTTGATATTTAATATTTGATATTGAATGTTTGATATTTAATATATATTATTTAATATTTGAAGTTTAATATATAATATTTTAAATTTAATATTTATAATATTTATTATTATACGATTTTTCAGGATAATTAGTAAAATTTTTTATTGCTGTTGAATATAAAAATTAAGAAAAATTTTAAACTATTATAAAGTCAAAATATCGATGAAATAAAAATTTTCGTAAAATAAATCGAGATTTTTTTATCTTAAATTGTTTTTTTAACAACAATAAAATATTTGACCAATTAGCCTGCAAACACACTTTATCTATATATTCATATTTATATTCATATATTTATAGTTATTTATTTATATTTATAATTAATATTTATATATTTATAACATAGGTAGATGAAGAAGCTTGCAAGATCACAGGCTCACCTGAGTTAAATTGGAAAAAATTTATAACAGTTTGTTGCTTAAACTAAAACAGAACCAACTACGAAATCGGTGCTCAAAGGTCACTGCGTATAAGTACAGCTTGGTCTATACTTCAATGTCTGCGCAGAAAACTATATTCATATGTTACCGACCAACATTGGCTAGAAGCAGATTCATAATATTTAAGTTTCTTTTTCTAACAGACCTAACAGAATCCTTATTTTTTAAAATTAGGGGCATAGCTAAGTTTTAAAAGTTGTCAAGTTGGTTCCCTTTCATTTGAATAGCGAAGTCGCGCCTTCTCAAAGGGACGCTTTTCGTGTGGTTAACTGTTTCGGTTTTCTATCTTTAAGGTAGTTCTTTAGATCCGTCATACAAACGGTGACTCATATGTGGTATTCCAACAAGTCATTATTGGTGTTCAAGTAAACGTTGGTACACAAGCCTGCTACTCCAATCTAACCTAATAGTAATAAACGTTTAATACACATAACATTTTGCTGAGTAAATTTTATTATCAATTAAATAAATTTTATTTTCAAATAATGAAAACAATATTTTGTGATTTCTGTGGTTACAAATTGTAAATACAAATTGAATTTTTTTCTTTAAAATAATTAATTAAAAAAAAGATTAAATAAGTTTACATGTACAAGTCAAAGTAAAATTAAAACGTAGCTTAAAAATTTATTATAAAATATGTAAAAATATTTAGTCAGTTTATTGTACACGTTAAGCAAAAAACAAAAATAGAATAATATATTTAACTCGTACAACAACATTTGTAGTTATACTTAATATATGCAATTTTATGTACTATTAAGCGTGGTCAGTGAACCCAATGAAATGCCCGTTGCTATTGACGAAACAGTATCCAGTGATTCATTGAGTTTCTGTTTGAACGCTTGTAATGCATCGATGTGATTAATCTGTTGCAAGCCATTCTCCTTTTGTAGCGCGAGTGTATATAAATTACGTTTACCGCTTTTAGTTAGTAAAGTGGGCGTGTAGAAAGGCAAGTACACACGTTTGTGTTGTGGCAATGTGATGTCATTATCACCATTTGTAGCAGTTTTAGAATTTTTACCTCCAGCGCTGTTCACTTCATTCGAATATGAACGATGCAAGCGAATTATTTGTACATTTTGAAAATGTGCAACATAAAGAAATGGTTCCTGATACATAAAACCCGTTGGCGTATATTCCCATAATAAATCATATGGACGTGATCGACAACCATACTCATCAACAAACACACCAAATTCCATAAAGCATAACAAAAATTCTTGCTGTGATATCTGTATAGCTTCGACAGGATGACACGCGCTGGTATTTATCAGTGATGCATCGGAAAGATCAACAAATTCCTCCGCCGCATAGCTGTTCAAATCAATTTCAAAAAACTTATCCGAACTTACAATAGCCGTATGGCGTGTGAAAATAATTGATATTACTGGTGTGGTAGTGTCTAAAGCACGTACCGGCTTAAACTTTTGTAATTTAACATCGTACTTCATTATGACAATACGTGTTGAAGTAGCCGCCATAGCTACCGTGTCTAACGCGTTTTCAGTCTCATTGGACATTTTAACTAAAACCCATCTTTCATCTTGTGCACGATTTGCAAAAGGTAAATCAATTACTGATCCTTCCAGTGGAGATTTAATGCTTGTGTTCGATTGACAACGTGTGAGCAGTTGCCGATAATCGCACTGGAATATTGAATCACCACTACCGCTAACGAGTATGGCTTTGGATAAAGCCTCTGCTATAGCTATGCAACTCACTGACTCTATACCCACAATGTGAACCATACGTTGTGTTTGCAAATGATAAGCATATAAACCAGTTTTACAACCAAGCAGTAGGATTTGATTATCATCTGCCTCATAAGCACAATTTATTTCCACCAATTTATGTGCATTTTTCTCATCCATGATAAGAATTAAAGTATCAAAAACATCGCTACCACATTCGGATTGAGTTTCAGTGTCACTTTCTAGTTTACCTTCGTAAGAATATTTATCCATTGAATTAGTATCAGCTTGACTTTCTGTTGAGTCATTATTGTGGGCAATAGCTTTAGTTGCTGTACTTTTCGAGACATCATTTTTATTTTCGCTACTACCCGAGAGAACAGCACTGACGCCATCGCAACCTGTCTTAAATGTACTTCGACATTTGCGATGTACTTCAGTCTTACATGCTCTACATTTCCAATATGCCGCAGCAGCTATAAGTGGCTTTTTGCAGCATTCACAAAGGTTACCACCGATATTTGTTTCCATTAGCGCCAACTCGAACGCATGCTGAGTTTGAGGTATGACTTGAGTGCGGGAATTGGTAATCTTAACTTCTTCCTTTGGTGTTGACTTGGGTTTCGACGAATCAAGTTTTCTAGGTGAATTTGTTTTAACGCTTGAGACACTACCGAATTGTTTGGTTTTTTCATTAAAGGAAGCGTTTTTCATAGGAGATTTTAATATAGAACCATTATCTGAAAATATTTAATAATAAAGTTATATTATATTAATAAAGTTAGTTAAATTTTAGTTTAATTATAGTGAATAAATGAAATTGATAAGATTTAGTATGTTGTTATTGTTGTTACCCGCGGAGATTATGTAGTCCCTTTGAGTGTGGTGAACGGGATTTGGCTGTCAAAATTAAATAGTGGCTCGCTGATGATTTCCCGGGCAGCAAGAGCTGTTCTTGCCTTTTTGAGATCAGTATATAGCCACGTACTAAACAATTACTTGTTACGTATATACACGTTTATTCATAATGTGTGTCCAAACTAAAGCTCTATCAGGTCAAGTTTTTCTATCTATATACAAATTAATTTTACTTTAAACCCCACCCATTTTCAACCCACCTCTTACCCATAATTCCCCCGTCTCTCAATCAACCATCACCTATCCACATTCTAATCCATGTATTCGTCTTGTAAATCCTTTCATGTTATTTAATTTCTAGATCGAAATTGGTTACAACAACAGTGGCTCCGGGACGTAGACGCAACAAATTAGTATCTTTCTACTTTGTGTGACGCTTAGAATTCCGAAAATTTTTAATTCTATAGAAATGTTTAAATAAACATCTATTTTTATACACTAACCTTTATAAATTTTATGATGGTATCAATATGGCCTATAAATATCAATTCCAGGCTTACCAGAGAATATCTAAATATTTTGTTAGAGCGATGTTTTTTGAAGAATGTATTTTATATATGTTTCAAAACAATATATTATATAATTATCTTTCTACATTCTCTAAATCTACACAGAGATCGTATTGACTTAGACCTAAACGAAAATTAGAGTTTCTGTCATACCAAGGTAGTTTGCATAACTTTCTGAAAGTGATGTTTTTTAAGACTTTATGTCTTTATTTTTTAGCTCAATACAAAGATCCTATTCACTTAGACCCACTTTTTCCTTAGCTAAAAATCTATACGGGTTTGAATTCCAAAATAACGAAGAGTGGCATGCTAGAAGATCAAACTCATTATATTCACCCTAGAAAGTAGACGATACCCAGAGCAGACTGTCGATAACATTTTTGATAACTATTGCTTTATTTAAACATTCGAAATGTAAAACACTCAATATTAATTAATAACGCTCTAAACATGTTGTCAGAGTATTAAGATTAGCTTGAAATTAAAAACGTTCGATCGGGCAACAAAGTTTGACAGATCGAGAATAAATCTAGATTGAATCCAGATTTTCAAATCAGAAACGCCTTTACTATCCTATAGTATATGGTACTGTATGATGGGATGGCAATATCCCACGAGTTTGTCTTAACTTAATACAAAGTTTTATATTATATAAATACTTAGAAGGAATAGCAGTGACTTCTATAAAATTTCTTAACACAATACTTACATGAAAGCTTATCAACTTGTTCCTGCAATGTTTTATTACGAAGTTTCTCTCTATTTAACTCCTGTTGCAAGGTGCGGTACACTATTGACGATTCGATAACACCAGGATTTATGTTTTCTTTAGTGTTATGGCTACCGAAAAATTTATCAGCAAAAGTCTTTTTCTTTTTACCAGTCACATCCTCCAATTTCAATTGTAAATAATCAATTAATTTTTTATGCTGCGATATAGTGGTTTCACATTTAACTTCACGTTGTACGTAAAAGTTTTCTTTTTCAGTTAAAATTTCATTTAATTCCTCGATCTCAGCACGCAATTCCACAACATTAAGCATAGTTTCCTTGACTTCTGCTTGTAAAGATTGTATTTGCTCCTTGGCATAGAAGAGATCGCACAATACGCGTGAGTGATCCTCTTTCAAAGAATTTATTTCGGCCGAGTTACTCTCCTTCAGTGTTTGTAAACTACTGTTTTCATCTTTGAGAATTTCAATACGTTCTTGTGTTTGGAATAGATTTGTCGTCTGGTCTAATAGTTGTTTTTGTAGTGTAGCTAGTCTATTTTTCACGTCTTGAAGATTTGTTTTGTATTCTGTCAGTTCTGCTTTAAGTGTACGTATTTGTGCTTCATAAGTTTTATTCTGTGACTGTGCATCAAGTACATCTTTCTTTAGTGACGAAATTGTGTCATCTTTTTGTTGTATATTAACGTAGAGTTTTTCAATTTTTTCCGTTTGCGATTTATTACGTTTCTGTTCTGTTTCCAGCATAGCTTCGACTTCGGTCAGTTGATTGTCTGTGATAGTACAGGCATACTTAAGACGTTCATAATTATCTTGCAAATTCTTCATTTGCATCTGCAATTGTGATTTGGCATCGGTAAGTGTTACTATCTTTTGATGTTCTAGTTTCAGTTCACCCAATAAACGTTTGACTTCCATTTTTTGTGAATCATTTACCTGCTGCGTGCGGTCTAATTTATTCACAGTTTCTTTGAGTTGTTCTTTTAATTTTTGTGAAGTTGATATGTGTTCAATAATCTGTAATATTATTAAAATATAAAATAAGTTCATAACTGTAATTAAATAACAAGACAATAAAATAAAAATTTTCTGATGAGAAACATATGCGTTCATTTTACATCTGCATACTTTTCACGCGAACTTTAGTTAAACAATATTCTAACATATTTCAAAATCCAATAAAAATTACCTCTGATTTATTTTTCATACGCTCCTGTTCAGACTTCTCCCACATTCTATGTTCCTTTAGAACATCGCGCTTTGTTGCTGCGATCTCATCCTTTAACTCCTGCAAACGTTCCTCACGTTGTTTGATTTCCTCTTGAACTGCTTTATATAAACGCTGTGCTTCATCACGTTCATTTTGCACTTTTTTGATTCGTTCTTCGGTAAGTTCCATGCGACGTTGTGTCCGTTTATTTTCTGCTAAGGTGTCTTCCAATTGTTTTTCAGCTTTCCATAGTGCTAAGTGAGCTGTACGAGCTGCCTGACGTTCGACAATCATTTTTTCACGTACAGCTTCAAGCTTGTCTTCCAGTTTTTCATTTTGCTTTTCCAACATATCGCCAACACTGTTTGTAATGTGGCGTGGTGCTGGGTATGGCTTGGTAGGTGAAGAAGTTTGCTCATTTATTTTCTCTAACATGGATTCCAGCTTCTCAACGATATTTTGCAATTTATCTGCCCGTTCTCTCTGGGCATTTTCATTTTCTTTGGCTACTTCGAGATCGGCGCGTAACTGTTCTTCAATAGCATGCAACTCGGTTAAAGAACCTTGTGCAGTTTCATAAGTGGATCCATGCTTATCGAAAGCTGTTTCAGCAAGTTGTTTACTACATTCTACTAACTGAAAATAAAAAAGTCGTTCTAAACTATATATTAAATTGTTATTTTATTAACTCACCTGCAGTTCTCTTTCCAGACGTGCAATTTCTTGTTCTAACTCAATACTTTCTTTTTCCTTCACAGTTAATGCCTGCTCAAGTTCAGATTTGATCATGTGCAGTTTATTATTTTCTTCTATTTCTATATTTAAACGTTTTAAAATTTCTTCATTACTTTTGACTGTTTCATTTTTAGCTTCTTCAGTTGACTTTGAAGAACAAATAGTTTCATCAAGCTCAGAACGCACATCTTGAAGTTGCATAGTAAGTCGTGCCTTTGAGTCCCTTTCACTAAATAGCTTGGCACGTAATTCAGCTAAAGACCCTTCATAGGTCTGAATTACTTCTTCTTTATACTTCTCAAAATTTTTTTTATCCATTTGTGCTTGCTCTTTGCATTGTCGCAACATTTCTTTGTAGTTATTCATTTTTTCTTGTTGATGGGTTAGTTCTTCACTCTTCGCTATAAGTTCAGTTTGACGGGATTCCAATTTTTCAGTTAAGTTACAAATTTCATCAATTTTTTCTGACAACAATTTCTCATAACGTTGTTCTGAAGCTATCTTAGCTTCTTCATACTTGTGTCGATTTAATCGTAACAATTCTGTAATTGTAGCCTCCTTTTGTACCCACATTTCCTCTTCAACCTTTACAGTACTTTGTAGGGTTTTCATTTGCTTCTTACAAGCGGCCACTTCAGCTGTTTTATCAGTAATAATCTTCTTCATTTTTGCTAACTCAATTTTCGCTTCTTGCAAACATTTTGACTGACTATGCGATTCCTGGGTTTTGTGTTCGCTTTGAATTAACTCCTTTCTAAGTTTACTTATTTCTTCCATACGATCTTTCAATTTAATCTCTAAATCTCTCAATTTAGTATTCAATTTAGCTAATCTTGTATCATTCACAACAAAAGCATTATCATCTGTGTTGCTCGATTTCTCCATATGCACAAAACTATAACCAATGAATGGTAAATCTTTACCAGAAAAATCGTTCGATTTCATTGTCGCCAGTGTTGTTGGTTTTACAAATGTATCAGAACGTCCCTTTTTGCTACGGCTTGGATCTTCGAAATTGGACACATCATCATCACTTTTGACTGTAGGTATTATTGGTGGAACTTGTGATCGCAATGTTTCCCACTTAACAGAACTGAAGAAAGGATGTTGTGTTATATTCACATAACTCAAACGATTTTTCGGGTTCGTTACTACAGATTCGATGAGGTTTTTAAAATTTTTAGACAGACTAATATCATTTGGAAACGATATAATCTCTTTTAGTGAACTATCGTCGCAATGACTAAGAATTTTCGAA